GAGAGGTTTTGAAAAAATTTGGCAAGGATGTTGGTATAAACATCAAGGCTGTTCGTATATACGCACAGCAGTTATTCTTATCGTTATCCCTTCTGTCAAAATGCAATATACTTCACGCTGATATCAAACCTGACAATATATTGGTAGGTGATTGTCGCTTTCGTCAACGCTATTTAGGATAGTTATTGAAAATCTACATTTTTTAGGTGAGTGAATCAAAAAATACGCTCAAAATGTGTGATCTTGGTTCAGCTTCCGATGCGTCAGAAAATGATATTACGCCTTACCTTGTTAGTAGGTTTTATAGGGCTCCCGAAATCAGTAAGTTATGAATATATTAATTTATTTTATGCCTATAAACACGCTTGATAATAATTTATTAAAATGATTCGTAGTTATCGGGCTACCTTATGACTGTGCATTGGACATGTGGTCGGTTGGTTGTACTCTATACGAACTTTACACTGGTAAAATTCTCTTTCCAGGGCGAAGTAACAACCAAATGCTGAAACTCATGATGGAACTGAAAGGAAAATTTCCGAATAAGAGTCTTCGTAAGGGACAATTCACAAAACAACATTTTGACGATGATTATAATTTCTTGTATCGAGAAACAGATCGGATTAGTAATAAGGTTCGTATATATTACATGTTATGTAATTAATTATTTAAAAATTTTTCGGTATTAACTTTTATATATCAGGAGGTTGTAAAGACCACCGTAATTACAAAACCAACTCGCGATTTAAAAACACGCCTTCTCTCTAAAACGTCACATATGACCGATGAAGAGTTACGTTTACTGACGGCTTTCGTCGATTTGTTAGATAAGTGTTTAAATTTGAACCCTGAAAAACGGCTAACAGTGAAAGAGGCACTGATGCATCCGTTTGTGACTGGTAAACTGTAACTTATAATGTTAAATAATCTTTTTAAGAAAAAAAAAAAAACATAAACTCTACAAAGTTTACGGTTAAATTCCGCACAAGTCCTATAGTGTGTGTATATATATATTTAGATTTTGTTTTGCCATCATGAACATTTTTCACCAATTGTGTGATGTAAAAATTTTATCTACTTTTTGAAAGATCTGGTTGGAACGTGAATTAAGTTTTATAGATCCATGTTAAAAGATCTAATTGTTTTAATTGTTTGTGCGTTATATTTTGGACAAATAGCAAGAATCTAATTCAAAAAAAAAAAAAAAAAAAACTGCTGTAATAAAAAGATTTTAATCTTGTTAAATCATTTTTTGGGCGGAGGTTTGGATTGGGCCTTGAGGACCCTCTTAACAATCTTTTGTTCTTCAATCAAGAAAGCCCGAACGATACTATCGTGTGTATATCAATAATAAGTAAAAAAAAATAAGTAAACTCCATATCATTAGACGTTAAATGAATAATAATTATAAATGCATAAATACCGGTCTCTCACGCATCTAGCACAACGACTACCACCGTAAGCTCGTCGAACTGTCTTCTGACGTTTAGAAATTCGTGCATATTGGCGTGGTCGGAGAGCTGGAATCTAATTTATGGAAAATATTTATATAATCAATTAACCTATAAATATGAAGCTGGAAGCCTTATTGTTTCAATTCTTTATAAGGCATCAATTCAACGTAGAGATAAACATTGTTTTTTTACAGAGCTAGCAAATTGATGCATTTTAAAAACTGAAATAATTATGGCTTCTAAACATATAAAATGTTTATAGTGCATACTCCTGGAAGCCTGCACCCACAATCACCGCAGTGAGGACCTTTGGCAGGTTTCTTTTCGTATAGCCAAGTAAGCTTGCCACCTGTTAATAAGAACATCCGAACATGTCTATTATCATGCCTAATTATGTACAAGAATTTTCACAATTTGCTTTTCGCCAACGTACCAGGAGTCTTGATTACTCTGGTTCTATTTGATCTGGTATTATAGCTCAAGCGGCGCCTATATGTGAGACGTTGTGCCATTGCGAATTATTGCTGAAAATTTCATGTAAATTGTAGTGAATAAAATATTCATTTGTAAAGCAATTAAATGGATACTTCAAAATTACCTTGATGTTGTATCAAAAAAAAAAAAAAAGTTCGAAAAAATTGTTATTTTATGTTACACGATCAGAATTTGTTATCCAAAATTCCGGATCGGAACGAATCGGGACTGGGCCGGCATTAAATATAGCGATAGAGAATTGGACGAATACTTCTTGAGATTTGATAAAAAAAATAACAATAATGATGAGGTGCGGGCATAAATAAATATTATTAATGACAATAAAAAAAGATCGTTCTTGTTCAAAAAGTTTTATAAGCTTTGGGTAGCTTTAACGTTAGTGGATTCGGATCGAATACAAATGAATAACTGCTGTGCGTATATACGAACAGCCTTGATGTTTATACCAACATCCTTGCCAAATTTTTTCAAAACCTCTC